TAGAAAACAGACCTTATTGGATCCAGAAGAGAATGTCGAGACTGTTAAGAGCCCTAATGATCAATCCATAATGTACTCTATAAAAACTCTGAAAGAATTTATTCAAATTGAACCCTCCTCTGAAAATAAATTGAAATGTTTACTTCAAATAGAGAAGCTGGCTGAAAAATGTAGCCTTAATAAACAAATCCAAACATCCATTTTACAGTTTGTCCCAAAAATTATAACTCATATTTTTCATTAAAGTTTTTTTTTTACTGCTTATATTCTGCTTCATTGCATGATTACAGTTATGTCTTTATTGCTTTTTAATATGTTTAATTTTAGATAGTATATTTTCTAGTGTTATATATATTAGGAGATTTTTCTTCTATAGTGATACACTTTTCAAGTTATATTTTTCTCTTAACATCGCATAATTCGAATTCTTTTCTGAGAACATTTGAGTTCAAATTAACGAGCGTACACTGTATTTTGTTCCTCATGTCACAACATTAATGAGCAAAGAAATATTTTGGACGGTTAGTCTATAAGTTTTGTAAAGAAAACTTTGTTAGTATTAAGTAGCATAAGATGATTTTCATCAGTGAATACGTTCTCGGTAATTTCCTCGGTGCATCGAATTTGGTATTCAAAGATGTGGAGAATTTTATTGGCAACTTCTTTACTGTATTAAAAGTTATTTTTTTATTTTTAGGAATCTCATTTATAGTGTTAAGAATGTTTTCTAAAAATTGTATACCCCATTTGTGGAAATTTGTAACTTAGTATAAGCTATATAGCCTAGTTATAATTCTCCTGAAAATAAGGCATTTTTAACTTGCTGCCTGCCAGTTTATGGCAGTAAAGTACGTCATACTAACAATGCCAGTTAAAGTTTTTTTATATTTCTTAAATTAGGAACTAAGAAATATTTTAAATTTAGGTTAGTAATAGTTAATCATTCATTGAAAATATTAGGCTGGTTCTTTTCTAAATTGTCTTTGCTTAATATCATGAGGAAATGTTGAAACTGTAAAATAGGTTTGAAGGCAAAGGTTTTCTGCCTACAATATATTTAATATAATATTAAATAATAATATAGTATGGTATAATATTACATTGTACAACTCGAAATGCATAGCCCTATGAAAGTTCGGGAAGAAATAAATAGAAAAAAATAATAAAGCAGTGATTATTTTAAAAATTAACATAATATAAAAGCGGTAAATAAAAGTTAATTAATATTTAAATGATGTGTAATAAATAAAATTATAGTAAATACAAAATTGAATGGAATAAAAAACGAATAAAAATTATATAAAGATAAAAAAAAAAACAAAATATTAAACGCTGTTCTCTTTGTTGTTAAATAAAAGTGCTCTATTTTTGTTATTTTAATTTGTTCAAAGCGTTCTAAATCAATGTTCGCAGTCCATAAAGATCACATTTCAGCTTATAGTATTTCATCCGCAGTTGGTCACTATTTCTAAGTATTTTACGCATGTGATAAAAGTGAGCGAGCAGTAATGATATCAGAAAGAGTTCCGCAATTTACTGTTAATGTTAAAATTCAGTGTGCGATGTTCCCCTCTTTTATCTATTAACTAAGTGGGGAGGAACCTAGTCAACTACTAAGCGAATTATCGCTTAAGTCCAGAAACAGAAACCTAAACTCAAGAAGGGTTAATTACCCTTTATTGCTCAAACTAAAGGTGTACAGATGGTCCCTTTCTCAGCACGTACAACAAAGCCTTCATTTGGGCTTAAACTAAAAAAATATAAGAAATAAGAACTTAACTAATGACTAACTAAAGAGATTTAGCCGAAGCTAACACAATTTCTATGTAGTCGACTTAAAATATTAAATTAGCCAGCGAAGCTATCAACGGCACGTAATAGGGCCGAGCGTAGTAAAGACTTAGAGAGACGTAGCCAAAAGGCAAAAGCGCGCTGTTTAGAAACTCTGATTCTCTCTCTCGAAGTCAGTGGAACTTCGACTTAAATACTACTCCTTTTTATTTGCATTAAAATCGATTCTGAAAAGTCATTCTGGTTAGGAAAAATAAACTGAAATTAGGAGATATAGGAAAGGAGCTTAAAAATAACTTCTATAAACTTAGGATAAACCTTACCAGTGATCTAATTTACTGCTAATATTAAAATTCAGTAATGCATTGCATAAAATTCAGAACAACACCAATTTTTATAGTGTGAATAAAATGCGGCCAATATTTTTCAGAAAAGCAATTAATTTTGTTTAATATCTTTCCTTACATTTATGACCTATATTCGGTATATTTTCCTTTGCATAAAGAAAAGGTTTTGAAGTCATGTTTCATCTACATAACATTTCTCATACCTCTTTTTATCGAGACACTTTATATGAGAAAGTGTAATATTCATGAATAATTAATCTAAAACGTAGAAGTTTACTCCATTAATTAAAGAATTGGATTATTATTCGCCCGCTTAATTTTATTTATTGGTTTTCCAGTATGAAAAATTTTAACAAGTAATGTAATTGCAAAAATTCTTATATTAGCAAAAAAAAAAAAAAAAGGGCAAATTATAATATCATGATTTTGAGTGCCAAAAGTCATGAGCTTCTAATGTAAAACCGTATCTCAGCGAAAAATGTAATAACCTGATTAAAATTTTTATGCAATCAAAAAGAGATTCGAAGATTTTCTGCAAGTCTTTTTGTGTCAATACTATGATTTAAAAGCTTCTTATTTGCATATTTTTTTTTTTAATTTCAGTCGAAAGCTAAAATACAGTAATATAGCGTGATTTCCTCTAAATTAAAAAAATATTTTAATTATGTTGAAATCGTTATGTTTTTACCCGCAATATTAGGAAAATTAAAAGGATACTTGTAATTTTCTTTAGGATATTCCATTGCTTCAGTTTTAAAAATAAATAAATAACTAAAATTTCAGGTTACAATCTAATACTTTGAAAAGTTTAAAAATACAAAAGTTAAAAAGTACATAATATTCAAAAAGTATTTTTACGAATTTTGTATGTAGTATATAATTTTAGTGAAATTACATGGAAAGATTGCTATCTTGTTTATAATGTAACATGAAATGCTTGAGAGAACGAAGCTCTGCCATAAAAATAAGATTGCAGCGGCAAAATCTGTTAATATTGAGGTAAATGGTTATCTCGCTCAATTGGCGAAATATCACCAAACTAGTGATAAATTTGGTAACTAATTTTTGTCGCCAAGTTTGGTGAGAAATTGCCAAAAGTCGCTAAACTTAGCGACATTTTGGTCCAATTCCTGTATAACTGTAATTGATACTGTAATTAATACTGTAATTGTATAACTATAACTGTAACACTGTCCGTCCCCTATATGTAATTCAACAGTGTATGCATTCCAGTAATTTCTGGAAACTATTTTTAGCCTTATAACTAGCTCAACTACGTTTAATTACGTAGCGTCATATTCCTGATCAGAGGTTTTTCAGCTTCTTTTGCCTCTGGTTTTGCAACTGTTCAGTTCTCTTACTTCGGTCTTTCTAATTTAATCTTATTTACCATCTCTATTATTCAGCATCTTTAACACATTATAAAACGCAACACTTGCTTACTACACACTCTTGGGAGACATTATTCAGTGTGAAGACACAGAATCTGCTCAACTTCTAACATCTAACTTTCATTGACGTATGCACTAGTACACTATTTTCTACTTTTCTGTTTCTCTCTAAATTTAAAGTTAGGACCTTAAAATATCTTTCTTATCATTTATTTTTAATATTTGTTCTCTATGAAGAATTTAATATAGACCTATGCTTTTCTTATTTTTTTTGGGGGGGTGGGGGTCCCATCTTTGTTATCCGGGCTTTCAAATTCGTATAAAGTACACGAAACTTTTTCCTCTGAAATACAAAATTGCCCTTTGTCTATGCACTTTTCCTTCCCACCAAAGCTTGACAGATATCCTTCAAAATCTTCCCGAAAACCAAGATATTAGATTTCGAACCTGTATCCGGCGCGCTGGAGTTGCGTTTCGGCAATAAGTGTTTAAAAGACTATAGCAGGCTTCTGTTAAAATCTTGCCCACGGAAACACTGCAGGAGCTTGCCATGTACGTTGAAAGGCTGCCTCATCACCTTTTTCCGACTGCCCGTCAGAAACAAGGGGATTCGTGTTCCTGCAGCACTTCGTCGATGGCATCGAGATTCTGAGATACAGAAATGCGAATGGAAGATGTCAAGGATTTAGAAAGCACTTTAATGTATGCCATAAAATTCGGGGCAATCCAGGAAGCAACCACCATCCAGTCTGAGCTGCTTGTGTCCAGGAGCCAGAAGGTCGACTGACTGCTTGTCAGGACGGAAAAGGAGTGACAAGTAACCGACACTCTAAATTGTGGAAGTGAAGGTCACGTACGAAGGAATTGCAGAGCATGGCATGGGAACTAAGAACGCTCCCGGTAAAGAAGAGGCAAACTAATTAGTGGCCATCTAGCGTTTATTGGATATCGAGAAGCTCCACTTTAAAGACCTACAGATTTCTGCAATGAGAGGCAGTAATGAACTGTTCATCATGGGACGTGTAAATAGTTCCATACAGTATGACCATCGATACAGGAGCCTATGTTAGCATCATGCGAAAACTTTTGGCTCAGCAACTGTTAAGGTAAACTCATCCGATCGCCGTCCTGCGTTGAAATAACATTTTATTCAGTTTCGCATTAAAATATGAAAGAAAAAATTTCATTAGTTCATGACTTCAAATTAGTTTATTAACAATAAAATTAGATTAGGTAATTAAAAAAATTCTTATGAGTGATATAGTCAAAAATATGTCGGAAATTTATAATTTATTTTCGAAAATTATTATATGTAATATAGGTTATGAAAAATAATAACAGGAAGTAAGATAAAATTTGTCCTTCCTCACATTTAGTTTTGTTAGTCATTTCTAGTTCTTTTTTTCCCCCCTTCTCTTTAAAAAAAATCTTTTATTATTATTGTAAATGGAAAAACGACATTTCTTTGCAGGAAAAACAAAATCACTTTGATGCTGCAGTGCAAGCTTTGCTGAATCATGATACTGAAGCTATAAAAGGCATTTTGAAACAGGATTCCTATGCGGATTGTATCTTCCCTTTGGTGACGGATACTCGTGTTCAACTATATCCTCCGGATTTACTCCTACGAGTGAATGCTACTCTACCAGGTAATATTAGCCTATTTGCACATAATTTTATCGTGTTTTATAACTGTAAAAGAACCATTAAAACTGAAATTATGTTTTTTTGCTATAGGTTCATAACAGCGTTTTATTAACACAAAATTTTGCTACGAGTAGTTTCTTTCTAACCCGTCTTGATGTCTAATGGAAGCTTCCGTTAAAAATGGAAGTGATTGGAGCAATTTCAGTATACTTGGTATCACTCTTATCACGTATTGGTAGACTTGACGGGCACAAGCTTAACTTTTTTTAGATAAATCAACATTCCATTTTCAGTGTTTCTCTATATTCATTCTTGAATTAATCTTCCATTTCAATTCAAATAATTCCATTTCAAAGTATTGTGGTTCGCCTTCTCTGATATGTGTCCCCAAGCAGTGCAGAATTTTGAAATCTCACCTTGGGAACGTGCACAAATCCAGCATCTTGATGTTTTTAACCATCACGTGAAGAGAAACACTAACGAGATCATTTACAGACAACTCTTCGCTGAGCACAGGCACAAATATAGCAGTTATCCGATATATGCAGATGGATCCAAGTCAAATGATCATGTTGGGATGGCATTTGTAGATGATCACATAGAGGGCAGATGCTTGCACCATACTTTCTCAGTCTTAACATCTGAACTAACTGCAATATATACAGGTCTTTTGTATATCTCAAAGCTCTGCCGCAAAAAGTTCGTAGTTTATGCAGACTCGTATAGTGCTCTTAAATCGTTGGAAGCTTTTCCCAACACTCAGAATCATGTAGTATTGGATGTTCTCAAGATTCATATAAACGTATAAGGTATTTCTCCCGCTTCCTAGCGTGACTTCGTGGTGTAGCGGTCTGCTGGCTGGGCCGGTATTCCAGAGGTCCGTGGTTCGATTCCCGGCGAAGGCGTTTGCTCATTTTTCATCTTGCCTGCTTCCGAAAATATCGTAATGTCTCTACAGTGGCGCTCGAACTAAAAAAGTGTTGGATGATGATTCTCCTCACCCAGGATTTGGCGATTGGGTCCCCTAAAAACCCCAGTCGCCCTTTAAAAGGGGGAGTATATAAGGTATTTCTCCCGCTTCCTAGCGCGCCTTCGTGATGATTCCTTCGCTCTTCAAGCTGGGTCGGTATTCCAGAGGTCCGTGGTTCGATTCCCGGCGAAGGCGCTGCATTTTTTTCATTTCTCCTGCTTCCAAAAAATACCTAATGTCTCTACAAACTTAACGAGTCGAGGATATGAAATCTTGTACTGCTGGGTTCCAGGGCATGCGGGAATAAAGGGAAATGAGCTGGCAGATATTCCAGCGAAATCTGCTGTTGAACTGTCCAATCGTTTCATCCCTTTTAAAGACATCTGTTGTGCCATTAAATAGAAGATTCGAAAAAAAATGGCTGCAACTTTTGGACGTTAAGCTGCACAACAACTTGAGAAATGTTAAGTCTAGAATTGAACATTGGGATTTTACTGGAAATCGTACGGAGAAAGTTCTTTTGACTCGCCTCAAAATTGGTCAGACTAGAGTGACACATAGCTACCTTTTGAAGGCTGAGAGAATGGTTTGGTTTATTAGATTACGGCAAAGCACTCTGGGCTATCTGCCTTAACGGAGGAATGCCTTCATGACGGACTTTCTAAGGGAAACTCGACTCGTATACACGTTAAACAAGGAGAAAAACATGAAATCACCCATGCAGGCAGCCCGTTCGCGAGATTCGGACCGAACTACCAGTGTTCAGCGACGTTGCCGCTCGGCCGCTGGTGGGCCGAAGGCTGAGAATGAGCCTGTTTGTTTGAATTGTAATGTTTTTTTATCTGTCCGTCATATGTTAATTGAGTGTCCATATTTTAATAGATGTGACTTACCTCTCGACCATTTAATAGGAAAAGAGGCCAATAGTGATTTATTTTATTATCTAAAAGAGACTGGCTTTTATTACCTAATGTAATTTGTTTTGAAGGATTGTGTATTGTATTTTAATGTGTGCTTTTTAACTTGTTTTTATATGACTCTGGATTTGGTACATTTTTCTACCTTTTTTTTATTAACTAATAAATTGTTTTGATTTCATTAATTTAGATCATCCTACCTCGTGTTTGGCGCATTGTAATCATCTTTGGTTTTGCGCCAATAATTTCATTCACTCACTCACTAAACGTATTTTGGAAAATTGTAAAAAAAAGTTGAACTGTTGCTAAAATACTTTTTGCCCAATTTTTTTGAAAAATTGAAATGATGATCTCAAGAATTTTAACTCTTCGCTTTCATTAATTAAATTTTTCTTTTATCTTTTTAGTAAATTTAAGTTTATTTTTAAAAACTGTATTGTTAAACTTGTTTTTCATTAAGAATCAGATAAAGTTTGATTTCAGTGAAGAACTTGTAATACGAAGTGTCTTTTTCTTTCATATTTTTCTTTTTAAAACATTGGAAAAAATCTTGGCATATTTAATGAATATCCATTTATACTAACATAGTAATGTTGTAAATCTTCAGTACATTTAAAAAGTGAAAACTATGTAACCTAAATCTGTAAAAATATTTAATGTTTTTAATTAGATCTATCATGCTTTTAATTAAATATATCATTGGGATATATCATATTAAATGCATTTTAATTTAAACCAATTAATTTAAGAAGTAAAAAGTAATATTTTAGGAAGTGCATCTGTTGTTTTCAATTAGTTTCTTTATTTATAACAGACAGATTAAACGTGAAAAATACACTTTTCAGAATGGTGTAAGTCTCGAATAAAAAAGTGAAACAACGCGTTAAGGTGAAAAATTATATTGGGAAAGTAAAAAAAAAAAAAAAAAAAATACATAACATGATTCTGTAAAAATATTTAATCTTTTTAAATAGATATATCATGAATTAAATGTGTTTTTTATTAAAGTGATTGTTTCAAATGTAAAAAAAATATATATACATTGTTCTTAACAACTGTTATTGTTCTATAACTTTCAAATATATTAAGCTTATTAATCAAATTTGAAAGGTAAATAGCTTATACGAGGGCCATCCAGGAAGTAGATTACGTTTCCGTCTGTGTCCGCTAGGGGCGGGGCTAGCGCGGCCATCTTGGGGTCAGAGCGTTGCGCAGCTCAGTCTGCATCTAGCCGTGCTAGTGGAGGTTCGTGCTGTGCTCCGTTCAGATACTGTGACGGTTTGAAATGTCTGCGTTAATTGAAAATCCCGCGAGGTGCGCTCAGTAATAAGGTTTTCTGACTGCAAAAAAACTGTAAACCGATAGAAATCTATCGGCAGCTTCGTGAAGTGTATGGGGACAACATTATCACTGAAGGTGGAGTGCGTCAGTGGGTCATAAGATTTCAAAATGGCCGAACCAATGTTCACGACGAAGATCGAAGTGGGAGACCCAGCATAGTGACCGCCGAACTTCTCGAAAAAGTCGATGCTAAAGTCCGTGAAAATCGAAATTTCACATAAATGGAACTTTCTTTGAGTTTTCCACAAATTTCGCGAAGTTTGTTGCACGAAATCATCAGCGAAAAGCTTGGTTACCACAAGTTTTGTGCAAGATGGATTCCAAAAATCTTGACAGAGGACCACAAAAATCAGCGAATGGCTGCAGCGTTGAACTTTTTGGACGCTTACCATAAGGATGGTGACTCTTTACTCGATCGCATCGTTACTGGTGACGAAACATGGGTGAAACATGTGAACTGTGAAACGAAATTGCAATCAATGCAGTGGGGGCACACAAGTTCTCCCCAAAAACCCAAGAAATGCATGCAAACAATGTCGGCAAGGAAGATGATGGCGACTGTTTTTTGGGACAGAAAAGGTGTAATTTTGGTGGACTTCCTGGAAAGAGGCACTACAATAAAACTCTCAAAGGTATTGCCAAAACTCTCCAAAAACTCAGAAGAGCAATTCAAAACAAGCGCAGAGGAATGTTGAGCTCTAAGATCTTGTTGATTCACGACAACGCCCGGCCCCACACGGCAAATGTCACTCGTAAAGTTTCTTGAATCTTTTAAGTGGGAGTTGTTTCCTCATCCGCCGTACAGTCCCGACCTGGCACCGAGCGACTTCCACCTATTCCCAGCAATGAAGAAGAAGTGGCTGGCTATGCAGCGTTTTGATGACGACGCACAGCTGCAAGAAGAGGTAACGAAGTGGTTGAAGGCGCAGGCGGCCGAATTTTTCGACGAAGGAATTTCCAAGCTCGTACATCGCTACGATAAATGCCTTAATTTGTATGTGGACTATGTAGAAAAAGTAGTTTGAGTGTGGCTTTCATCTGTATATAATAAAATTTGTTTCCTATACTTTGTTTATTTTTTTATTCCAAACGTAATCAAATTTGAAAGCCCTCGTAAATATCTTATATTTTCGCTAATTGCAAGAGACTCGAATGAAAGGTGAAACAACGCATTAAAGTGAAATACGCGAATCGCTTTTCGAGTCTATTAGCTTTTTTGGGCTGAAAAGAGTGTGTCTCTAAAATGGAATAAATTTCCTTTTAAAGGTAAGTTAAAAGAAAATTAACTTTTGTACGTAATATAATGAAGCATAAGGAACCGCTGACATTTAGAGTTTTATAAAAATATTCCATTAGTTGATTTTGTGTTAAGAGAACGACAATACTGGACAGAAAATTAAAAATTCTGCCTCTCAAATCGTTTCCGTTAAGCATGAGTATTTTGTGTTCATAATTTTATATGTTTTAGTAGATAATATTTATATAAAAGATCCATACAGAGATTTCAATAATGGTTATGCATTGTAATTTGATTAGAAATTCTTTAAAACAGTTTTAATAAATAATACCTGACCTCACAGGCAAATTTTAGTTTCAGAATCCTTACGTTCACATTTTTGGAAATTTAATTATGAGGATAGATTAGAGAATATTCTGCTTCATCTGGCGGCCAAGATTTCTGATTTTGAGTTAGCAAGATTGCTTCTAGAAAAGGGAGCTGAACTTACAAGCGTAGACCCAAGCCGGGGAACAGCTCTGCATAAGGCTTTTAAGAAAAAGTCTTTAGGTAATGTTAAAAATATTTTGGATATGTTTGCATTTTTTTCATTTACCTTGCGAAATAACTTGCATTTTAGAAGAACAATTAATGTACCGAATTCTTAATTAACACAGTGGTCAATGAATTGTTAACGAAATTTATGAACTGTTATACTATTATTATTACTTTTGTAAAGCATCTCGTCTTTTGGTAGCATACGCTAAGTCAAGACTCCTACTTAGAATTAAGCAACATATCATCATGTCCAGATAAGCAAACAGAAACGTATAGAGGGTATAAAAGGCCCGTTATTTAAAAACAAAGTATACTGAAAAAAATTACATCTGGTGCTTTAAACTCAGCTAATATTTATGGCGTGAATTCAAAGTATAATTTTAAATTGACACTAAATCTAAGCCTTTATTAGCCAAGGGCTACGCTGAGATAACTAAACGGCCAAGTGGGTTCTTAACCTACACCGGCGTGATCATGACGACAAACAAAAAGAGAGAAGTGATAGTACAGATTCTGAACATAAAGAAAAAAAACTGGTCGATCAACATTAAATGCTTTACACATTTAACATCGATAGGAAATTGCAGTTTACTTAATCTTATTACCAATTTGCAAGTAACGGATTTAAATATGGATGAATTATAAGAAAATTTCTCTATCAGAAAATACGAAATGAGAAATCAGAAATATTAGGGAAATTATAATAAGGTTCATTCTTCTATAAAGGAAGTATGCCCTTCATCTTTCAAAAAAAAGTAATTTTATAGCTATGTTTTTGGTGTTTTGTTTTGTGTATTTAATTATGGCAAAGCACACTAGGGCTATCTGCCTAAGGGGGAGGGATGCCTTCCTAAAGGAAACTGGCTCGTATACACGTTACACATAGGGAAAACCACGAAAACACCCATGCAGCCAGCCCGGTTCGCGGGATTCGAACCTCGGACTGAACTACCAGTGTTCAGCGACTTTACTGTTCGGCCGCTGGTGGGCCTTTTTTATAGCTATGAAAACTCTCTTTATTCCTCAAACTCACAGACAGAAAGACCATAAGCTAAACGGTAAGATCTCTACACTATATTTATTCGACCAAGGTTCAAATCCCGGTGAATTTTGTGGTATTTCTAATTGAACACATAAATCGCAGTTTCTCTTACAGAATTCTCTCAACAAGTCATTTTAATTGCACAAACTGAGAATATTTATATTTATAAAATATTTATGAGCACTTTTTGTGGAAAACAGAGAGAGAGAGCATTACTCCACAAATATGTTATATTTCTACTCCGTAATTTCATTCTAAGTTTTATGTTGCTAATCCATAAAAAAGAATCCGAATCCCATATGTAACCAACATCTATAATCAAATTCTTGTTTTCCATTTCACTGTGTGCTTAAAGCTGAAGAATTCATTGTTTTTCAGAAATGATAAAGTTCTTAACTGAGAAATCGCCAGCATACATTCTTGACCTCGGTGATATTTGCGGAATTACTCCTTTGGATAATGCTTGTAAATACAGTACTCCAGAAGTTGTTCAGTTACTCTTATCACAAGGAAGTAGTGTTACTGCAAAAACCTCACGAGATGGACCTCTACTGAATGCTGTATTTAATGTCGAAGAATATGCAACGCCAATTGCTTCTCTGCTTTCAGACGCAGGTGCAAACGTAAGTAACAAAATAAAATCATTGTTTTTAAATGATAAATATTAAATATTAATTTTTAAACAATATATGTCTTATTCCGGAGATCACTACCCAATTCAAAATTTACTTTTTGACATATAAATCTAATGCAAATCAAAACTACTACAATCTATTTTTTAACTAATAAAAAGTATGTTTTCATATTAATGCCTAGTCCTATTTTTGTGGCACAAATTTCAACAGTTCAAGAATTTCTTATTTTTAACCAAAAATATAGAAACTAATGAAATTAATCTGAAACATTAAATGTAAAGCTGTTGAATACTATCTACTTTGATGAAATTATGCATGTCGAACTTCTTTTATGAAACTGTCATAAAATGCTTCTACAGGGCAAAGAATACACAGCAGAGTATTGTACCATCGTGGGAACACTGAGTGCATTTATGTCGTTATTACATTAAAAATATCTTGTTTAAATCTCAGGGAAATATTTATAACCTTTATCTTCTAATGAAATTATACTCAAAATCCTTCATGAATTCATTTCATAGGAAAGAATGCTTTGGCTAATTTGAAATGAATTTCTTTTCATATATTTCAAACATAATTCTTAAATTCGGGAATTTTATGTTAAATTTTTTAAATTAAATGACGGTCAACTTTCAAAACTTAATTGTTGGTACATTTTTATTAAAAGCAATATGCAATGAAATAAAGAAAAAAAATTTAACTTGCATGATTTTTCGTGATATTCGCAAATAAATATTAATAATCGGTAATGATTAGAAATTAAATTTTTTTCACTTAGTAACCTAGTAGCTTATTTGCGTGTATTTTAAGTAAAAATAGGTTAATGCCCATGAAACATTCTGTCTTTACTTTATTTGACATGGCAAAAAATCATGTATAATGTTAATATAATAATATTACAAGGGTAATTGTAATCCGGACATAATGGAAACTTTGATTTTTTTGCTTTCTAAAATCCCGAATTTCCGGATTTTATAAATGTACACCCTGTAATCAGTAAATTCGCAAAAGGAAGTCTTTAATTTTTTTTTTCATATCAAATATATCATTCAGATTCAATAATGTTTACTCTATATAAAGTTCAATGAGATATCAAACTTCTTGTTAGATAAAACTAAATTTGTCTTGTACAAAAACGTTAGTTTTGCTTTTTGTCGTACATAGAAAAGAAAAACTTGATACTATACAATTTTGGGGTAAAGTATTTCGAATGATACCCTATATTGAAAGAAATTGATGTAATCACTTTTGACATACTTACGGGGAACCATTATGGAAAGCTTATTTGATTATATGGGTGATATTGTGTCAGAATGATAAACATCTTTAAACAATAATAGTTTCGATACCGCACATCCTAATATATTATTCATTCTAATTACAAAAAACTTCATGTAAAGATTTTGGGTCGAAAAATTATTCTAATAACTTAAGGGATTTTAGAAATAGTAAAGACTTTAGAGTTATTTTATTGCATAACTGAACGACTTGTTTGAATTCCATGAGCCGGCTTTTATAAAGCTATTGTCTATATAAATCTATAGCGCTGATCATACTGAGTTTTCAGTTGTTAGCAAAGACAATATAAACACAGTTGTTCCCAGAAAATAGCCGTTTTCATGCCATGAAAAGAAAGCTTATGTTAGCAGTTATTTTAAAAATAGAAAATCCAAATTGTAGATGACTGTGTGAATTGAGATAGTGAGACATAAATTAATTTTATTAAATTAAAAATGTATATATACTTTTTGCTTTGTAGTGAAGTAGGTTTGAAAACGTGTGTATGCGCCCATGTATTTCACATTAATATTATGAATAATTTCAGCTTAACTTTTACTTTGAATGCTAAGTAATTTTCAGGATATTGGAAATGGTATCGCAGTCAACTTCGGAATATAAAAACGTACGTATTTAGAGATGAATTCACTTTAAGAAGCTCATAAACGCCGTTTTGCAAATTTACCTGTTTTATATATGGCCAAGGAGTCCAAATTAATTGGCTGTTCCTTTTCACATATTTTTGTATGATTACATTGAACACAGTCAGGGCTTTCCGGACGTGCACTCTGACAAGAAAGGTGTCAGTAGTTTTAAGACAAATTCTGCTGAAACGCCATTCCGGCGGCAAAACGCGGACAACGTAAACTTTTTTTCCGTCGAAGAAAAAACCATCCATGAGATTCTACGATTATGCTTTGACCATCTTTTTTTTTTTTTTTTTTTTTTCTATTTATTTTATTTTTATCACTCTTAATCTGGTAGATAAATATTTCTTTCAAATAATTGTTCCAATTTGTAACTGCAGCAACAGTCAGGTTGAGTTCTTTAAGCAAAATTTTATTGATGTTTTTTTCCTTTGGTAAATGAATCTGATGGCAGCAATAAATGGCAATCTATTTGCAAGCAAATGCCGACTTGTGTTCTTACCTACTCCATGTCTTTCAAACATCGCCCCCATATGCCATTCGATTGACTCGAATAAAATTTAATTTCGTGATATTTGGAACATCAATGGTTAGTCAGCAATATATTGTAACCTTGTAAGTAACTAATTCCTTCATTGTTTGATAGATCTCCCAGATTCATGATCGAGCTATATGCACTGTGGAGGGGGGGGGAATCTCTATTCTTAAAACCGCCGTTTATGGGTGTTGTTAAAAACTTGGCAACATCATGCGATTTCAGTACCTATTAATTTCTATTATAAGGTTAAAGTTAGCAAATTTTCGCGTTTTTGGGGGGGGAGGGACGAATTTTGGTGTTTAGTCCTTTAACACGCAAGTTCCTAAAAGAATGTCAGTACAGCAAAAGTTTGTCATAAATTTACACAAATGGCTAATAGAGCAGGGACTGTTTATGCCGAAACTGCAAAGATAACTTATTCCAGCTTGCTACTTGAATGTACCGTATTTCCTCGCATATTTCTTCTCCTCATTTAATAACTTTATCCCCAAAAAATGAACAGTGGAAAAGTATGTGAGTAATGTAATTTCTGTAAAGATGCAGTTACAATATGAACATAACAAATTAGAAGTGTTCTTCAATAAACTACTAGTAACTATCACAGTATTATTAAAAGAAACCCACATCGCAGAAACCTGAGTCCTTGTCCGTACTTATTTATTGTACTTATTGTCCGTACTATCAACAAGAGGAGGTAGATCAGATTCAGTTGAACCACTCTTCCCTTGGAAAATCGTTGCGTTTCTGTTAGTCCAGAACTAGCTGATGAACCATTCTAAATTCTAAATTTTAACAGTTCATCCGAAAATTCGGAATCTCTCCTCAACAGATTTGATTCCAAAATGTAATGAAAATGTGCAAAAACAAATCGTTATGTATAAATTTAATGTCCAGTAAAGGAAAAGAATAATAATTAAGCATATTTTGGCTTATTAGGCTTAAATAAGCGTAAATAAAATGTAATTATAAAATATATATAAAAACTAAGAGAGAACTGGAAACACCAACCTACCGTTATGCCAACGATTGGCGTCCTCTTTTGAATTTCGAAAATATCACGTTTTTCGTAGCATAAAATTCAACAGAAAAATTACAAAATATGTATAAGCAGCATATCTTAAGAATTTCTGATAGAGCATTAAGTGATGCCTTGCTAAGAATTCCTGGTACAGTGTTAAGTGGTGATAATTTATACATACATATATATGAACATATCATCTATACATACATATCTATATGGGTTCTATATATCTATGTATAGATATATAGAACATATATATCTATACATACATATATATAGATATTTTTTTAGATTTTTATCTTCGCTATATTGTTTCTTGAAGTACTAGTCGCCTGCTCGGCCAGCCACCTAAAATAGTTATTAAAAGAAAAAGTATATAATAATTACATTTGAGTCCAGTGACTGTAATTTCATAAAAGTACTTAAGTATTTCTAATTATTAATAGTTCTTATGATTTTAATGCATTTTTATTTAAATCAATCGAATTAAAAAGTAGACATATTATTAAGACTGTGTTGATTGCTTTTAAATCGCTTAGTTTGTTACCGAATAATCTTTCTAATTAAATTTGAAGGTTAAATATCTGAAATGTCAACAACTTGGCGCATGGAAAATAAAAGTATTTCATTTTCGGCACTGCCAAATACATTGCTTTCGAATAGTTTCTTAATTAAAACTGAAACATATGTTACCTTTTTCCGAATGGCAGTCTCGTGGCCTGAAGATAGAAATATTTTATTTCCAATTGTTATTACCAGTGCTCGCTTTCAGATCTCTACGTGTGTTAATAAAATAAAAAAATTCATTAAACTTTAGCAAAATAAGAAATAAATCAAAAACAAATTGGAAATTCGGGCTTCCAGGTGCACATGTTCATGTGGAGGACGGCATGCATTCAAAATTTCCGAACTCTATGTGGCGCCGTTTTCCCTCAGTGTGAGGAATATACATGAATACACTCATATGGGATGTCTAACTTCTTTATTTTAACATTATTTGATATCTTTAAAAGTAATACATAGCGAGAACAATTGATGGCAACAGCTTGAAAAGTGACTCGAACAACTAATAGCACCCCTGGGGTTAAGGTTAATTTTTTTTTGTATGCATCACTACTAGTGAATTACTTTAATTTCATTAAAGTGTCATTTACCTAATTATCTTCGTTGCAGTTTATTTCATATTTTCATAGCTTTTGAAATTCAAAACATTTTCACCATCTGAAAATTACTTATAACCTTCCAAACCTCTCTCTCTCTCTATATATATATAAGATATCACAGATTTCTTATAATGTTCTTAATGCTTAAGTCACTATTTTCCGGGACATTTCTTATACAGGAGTTTCTAAAAATTTTTCGTAATTAAGCCTTTGTTAAGTAAGAGGAAGAGAATATTTTTAAAAAACTTTCGGTTCATTAACTGCTTGAGATCTGTTTTGTAACTCTTGTTATTCAAATACTTTAATTTTTCTGAAACTTTAATGTCCTCTTTTTTCTTTTTTCACAGATTAACCATGTCAGTCCTGCTTTGGGAACACCACTGATAGCTGCTGTAAAAGAATCTCTCTTCAAAACTCTTGTAAAAAATTCTGCCTGGATAAAGGGAACTGCAGCAAATTCAACTGCATGTCAAACTTATTCATTTATAGATCTGTTGATAGACCGTGGATGTGATGTTAATGCAGTCAATTCTGAGGGTCAGACAGCTTTGCATGTTGCAGTTAAGACAAAACAAGAAATTTTCGTTTGAAAACTGCTAATTTCTGGAAGTGACATCGACAGACGTGAAGTTTATGGCTTTACTCCAATCTACTATGCGTGCAAAATTACAAGCCTGAGACTAGTTGATTTACTTATAATTTCCGGGCCCAGGACTGAGAAACTATTTTTGAAAGGTGGAAAAGTTCAGAAGAGTTAAATAAAAAAAATATTAAGCTATTAACTTATGTTATACACAGTCCAGTCACATTAATGTAACCACCACGTACTTTCCATGTCAGAGTTAAATAACCAATCACAGAAGGCAGGTGGCAGCACAGTGCAGTTGAGCGTATATAAAGGGTGTGTGAGGGCTTCGGAAAAATTTCAATCGTTGGCGTAATGCAGAATGAAGCGATTTATCCGACTTCCAAAGGGCATGATCATTGGCTTTCGGGCCAAGGGTGGAAGCATTTCCGAAACGGCTGAGTTTATGAACTGTTTCGCGTGCCGCTGTGGTAAAGTGTACCGTGCATGGCAAAATGGGACGTCCAAAACAGCGACGTGGCAAATGTGGTGCACCACGGGCCATAGATGACAGAGGCGAACGACGGTTGCGGAGATGCGTTCGGGCAGATAGACGGGTTACCGTTGAGCAACTGACCACCAAAATGAACCAAGGGGCTACCAAAGTGTCTCCCAAAGTACTATTCAGCGAACATTGCTGCGTCTGGGCCTCCGAAGCAGACGCATGGTTCGTGCACCATGCTGACTGCTGTTTCATCGACGGCGAAGGCTAGAATTTGCACGCCAGTACAGCAGCTGGACGTCCACTGAGTGGCGACAGGTTGCGTTTTCGGATGAATCGCGTTTTATGCTCCATCGGACAGATGGACGTTGGCGTATAAGGCGTGAAACCTCTGAAGGAACCACCCTGCAACCATTGCCGGAACGGTCCAAGCTGAAGGCGGCAGCATTATGGTCTGGGGAATGTTTTTCCTGGCATTCTCTAGGTTTCACTGATCATTGTGGAAGGCACAATGGATCAATACAAGTACGCTCTGTCCTTGCGGACCATGTTCACCCTACATGCGCATTGTTTTTCCTCAGGATGATGGCATCTTCCAGCAGGACAATGCGAAGTGCCATACAGCTGCCAGAGTACTTGCGTGGTTCGAAGAGCACCAGGATGAGTTTACCGCCCTCCCCTGGCCAGCAAACTCACCTGACTTAAACCCAATCGAGCATCTGTGGGACCATCTCGATCGAGTTGTTCGCACCATGGATCCTCAACCGCGTAATCTAGCGCAGCTGGCCACGGCATTAGAGTCGGCATGGCTCAACATCCCAGAGAACACCTTCAGGGACCTATGTGACTCTCTTCCTGCACGTCTCGCAGCAGTCCGCTCTGCGAAAGGTGGTTATTCTGGCTTTTGACAGATGGTCACATTAATGTGACTGGACTGTGTATATGAATCGAAGCAGTGTCTTACCCTAGAAAACCTGTGCAATATAACTATTCACAAAAACATTAGAAATGTAGAAAAAGATGTATTTCAACTCAGATTATCACCATTACTGGTAAAACGCCTACAACTTAAAGAGTGATGAAAATGTGTAATAGGATTTATGGACCTATGCATGAAAAGGAAGTTTATATGACTCTACTTGTTACGTTATTTCTAATTATGATTAAATTTCTGTTATAAAATTTAATAAAAGGAGTTAAAATTTGTAAGTATTCAATTTCTTTTCTAGCACATAAAAGCAGGTTTTTTAATTTATTATTTGACACTGACACGATATTTGCTGTTTTTTTTCCTTTGAACTTCTTCTGCATTTATAACAACGCAAATAAGCAATAACAATGAAATACATTCTCGTATATTCTAAGTTTGCAACAACAAAACAATACACATACGAAAATCTATAGATTCTGAGAAAAAATATAAAAAATTTACCAGTTTCAATATTAGTTACAATAACATGTCCAGTGATAAATATTGGAGATTATTGAAACAAATCAGCAATTCGCACAAATTTTCAGGATTAGTCTCCAAGGTTTAATAGATCCTTATGCTGATTGTTTTCTTAACAATATCTAACACACTATCAGACTTTTTCATGGTTAAAAATTGGAGCAAGAAATGAAATTTCATGGCTTTTTCCTTAAAATGACATTTTAATCAATAGCGATAGTAAAACTATGATCCGATTTCTATCGAAAGCCCTCAGCAGGTTCTTCTCTGTTTCAGACAAACAACCGTCCTGTGTTTTGCACATGTCAAGAAAGCATCTTCAACACTAAAAAAGAAAAAAAAAAATCCTTTCCCTGGCGTATACTCTATCTGAAAACAGCCTGACACATACACATATTCATTTCAAACACGTTCAGACACATAAAATTTACCTTTGAAGAAAATGTTTCTTCGTAACGTAGCGAACACTTTTCAAAAGGTGTCGGAATGCTATTGCATAAATTATAACGAATTCTTTTCCAAGCAAAAAAGGAAAAAAATATTATGGTTTTAAAAAATAATTTCTAGCTCTTTCCTTCTTGCATAATTGCAAAATTTTGCTTTTTCAGTTATTTAATTAATGTGATTACTTACACATCCTAGTGACCCAACACGTTTCACTGTTTTAGAAAGTAAAGAATGTTTTTTGAAAATATACATAATTTCTCCTACTAAGGTAATGCATTCTAATTCTTATCAAATATGTATTTTGAAGCATAAAAACGTATTACTCTTTCCAATATTTTTTACCATGCACTGCAACGTGTAAAATATATTTTAAAGGTATGGCAGTAAATGTTTTTGAAAGAACTAGTTAAGCACAGGTTAACAGTAATTTTCGAAAACTTCAAATACATTGTCTACGTCTTTCTTATCTTCTTCACTAAAATTAAAGTAATATACTTTTCACTGGCTTCTGCGCTAAGAATATGCAATAAAATAGCTGCTTCAGTTTCAGACGATTTAGTATTACAATCGGATGCTAACATGTAAATGTGGCATTTTTGTTTCCACTTCTTCCAATTTCAACCCCAAATGTGCTCCATCGGGTTAAGATCCGGCAAGTTAGGTTGCCAGGGCATTAATTGGAATTCATCCATATGCTCCTCGAATCACTCCAACACAATTCGAGTCTTGTGAAATGGGGCGTTGTAACGCTGGAAGATTCCATTTCTAGTTGGGAAGATAGATGCCAGAGTGCAGCTGATCGCAGTTATATTCAGATAGTCCACAGCTTCTATCATTTGTTCTACCACGACTAAAAGGCCATTCACACTGGGCTAAAGCGCCGTTCACACTTAATACTCAACGACTCTAGCGGAGTTAACCTGTGTATGGAACATCCATCTATCTAACCTTGCTCATTTACACTTACTGGAAGCATCCACTAGCGACAACCAATAAACGAGCAGAAAATCGCGCGCACTTTCATTTGTTTGCATTTCGTAGCTGACGGTATTTTGCTTTGGATCTTTGAGTGGTACTGCGAATTTGGAGCGACGTTTCTTTTAAAATGGTTCGACTGAAACGCATTTTGTTGAATATTTTTTTTTTCCTTGCAGCATATATATTGTATGAAACATAATTTTGTCAACTGTAATAAATGAATAATATGTTTAAAAGCATTGTCCCAAACTGTTTACAAGGCAAAATTATGTAATGCTTTAAGTGACATATTTCATTAACTAGAACACAATTAAATACAGTTTTTACAAAAAAGTTCACTTAGTTCAAAACAATAAATAAATAAAATATTCATTTAGTCACACTTAGTTCAAGGCAATAAATAAAAATTATTAAGATAATTATCATTACTTGATAAAAATGTTAATACAAAATATCAATATTAAATAATAATCATCATTAATTTTCTGGGTTGAGTAATTAAGCATAGCAAAATGCATAAGGATTATCAATTTTTTTCTTCCAAAATTTGTCAATTTAATATATAGGTTACATATCATCAAAAATTATTTAGAAAAATCAGCAAAAATAAAATTTTCAGTGGTATCTATCTTCTATACTATTAAAATCTGTGCGCGTCTGTCTGTGTGTTTGTGTGTTTGTAACATCATCTTCTCCGGAACGGCTGGGTGTAGAGCTTAGCGGAAGGTACCGTTGGATTCAGAATTCCCGTGGCTCGCCATATTGACCATCGGCATCTTCGTGCGACTTTAATTAGCCGAGATATTAATTAAAAACTGCTTTTTCCCCTACGTTTTGCACTTTCTTTCACGGGTTTCCCCTATTTTAGGGATTTGGCCGAGTGCCAAATTCGTTTTTCTCGAATATCTGGGAACGGCCCGAGTTGCGAATTCGAAACGCATATCCCCGTATTCGAAAAAAATCAACAAATCCATCGATACCGGTCTCATCTTCGTACGACAATAATCGGCAAAGTTATTAATTAAAAACTGCGAAAGCAATAATTTCGGCGCTCAGTCTTCCGAGTGGCAACTGTCTCGGCAGTCGTTGGAGATAAAAATGCATTGCTAACGCCAAGGCCCTTCGCCACTAAAAACTAAGAATAAAAAATTTAAATAACTTAAAGGAATAAACTGAAAATAAAATAAAACTAAAAATAGAAACATTCTCTTCATTTAGTTGTCGTTAGTTGAATGTAAATTGGTTTATCTCCTTGATAAGTCGAGTAAAAAAGTTTTGTTTCCTGGTCTGGCAACAGATAAAATAGAATCAAAAGTTTAGTTTCCTGGTTTGGCAACAAAAAATTTATTTACGAATTTTGGATTTGGAAGGAGACCTTCGCAATTTTTTCCAAGATACGAAATTTCGTAAATATACTTATTATTACTCATTGCACTTAATCTTTATTTCTTTTTACAGGATATTTGATTCTTTTTTGCATTTGTATTTGTAGTTTTAGTAATTTAAAGTAGTATTTTAGACTTTTATATGCTCCTGTTAGTTTAGAACTTGAGAATTCTTCGGAACATTAACTTGGTGACTCTTTTTATATATTTAATGTATTATTTTGTATTTTTTTAAAGATCTATTCATTCGTGTTTATATTTCTGTTTTTGTTGCTCGATAAAATTGCATTTACATTTTTATATTTTTGACATTTTCCTGTGTGCGATAACAATTATCGTTTTAAGGCGATCGAATGTTCTATATTTTTAGATTATTAGTTATTTTTTTTGTTTTAAATTTCAGAATTGATTTCAGAAGTTTTTAATTTATATTTGTATTTATACTTTTATTTATTTTGGTTTATAATTTTCATTTTCTTTTTATGTGAGTTGTGCGATAAAAACTATCGTTTTAAGGCGATTGTTCTTTTTTTTAGATGTATTAGTTCATTTTTGTTTTAAATTTCAGAATTGATTTCGAACTTTTAATTTATATTTGCATTTATACTTTTATTTATTTTGTGTTTAGGATTTTCATTTTCTTTTTATGTGCATTGTTTCAGATTGACCTAATTATTAGAAATATTTTCATAATTTTATCTGTGCTTGGAATTTTTCATAATATTACCCATATACCCATATTATTTCTTATTTGCCAGCAATTTTTTTAACAGGGAAGTTTTGGTTTTACATTTTTGATTTTTTAATTAATTTGCTCTTAAGTGGAAAATTTTTCATTTAGTCTAGGATTATTTTAAAATTTGTGTTGTATACATATAGAATGCATTAATTTTTTTTCCAGCAGTATTGGTTTTAATGAGCAATAAGCAATTTTTTTCTTTCATCTGCGTAGTCAATTTTTTGAGTCGAGTTAATATTTTAGTAGTGCTTTTTTTTTAACGTACTGAAATGCCGAAACGGAAAAGAGGCATTACAGGAGATGCATCAAGAAGACGAAGAGCTGAAGCACAGAGGTTTACGGCGGCGAGCTGCAGAAAATGAAGAAGAAACTGCTGCGAGACTGAGCACGCAAGCGCGTCGGCAAGCAAACCTACGCGCTCAAGAAACGGAAGAAGAAACTGTTACGAGACTCAGCAGGAAAGCCCGAAGACAAGAAAACTTACGCGCTGTAGAAAGTGCAGGAAAACCAGTAGGAGACTGAGCATGCAAGCAGAACGCCAAGCAAATCTCCGCGCTCAAGAAACCGAAGAAGAAACCAGTAGGAGACTCAGCAGGAAAGCGGAAAGACAAGAAAACTTACGCGCTCGAGAAAGCGAAGAAGAAACCAGTAGGAGGCACAGACTGGACTCTCATCGTCATCGTCGAGTTCGAGCAGAAGAGTCGGAAGAGGACGCCACTACGCGAAGAACGCGAGACGCTGCACGTCACAGACAAGTCCTATCCGAAGAAACAATGTCCGTACGAGAAGACAGGCTACGCATGAATGCAGCACAACGTTCACGCAGCACTCTTCACAATGCAGGAAGATGTGGACTCGAAGTTTATGTTGAGCAACACAGCGCCGGTTCAATGGAAGCTTCCTGCGATCTCTGCAACGGATTGTTCTTTACGGGAGAAAGGAATGCAAGAGGAAGATACATGCACTGCTGTAACAATGGGAAAATTGTCGAAGCTGAAAGAAGATATCCAGAAGAATGGCACAATTTAATGAATGGGAACCACCCGTTTTCTGAAGAGTTTTTTGCCAACATACGTACTTACAACTGCCTGCTCAGTTTTGCTTCATTGGGTGCCAATATAGAAATGCCTTCGGGTTCGGGTCCCTACTGCTTCAGGATTCACGGTGCCATATATCATCGAACGAGCCACCTTCATCATCCGCCTCATCCCGGTCAAGAACAGTATGCTCAGCTGTACATTTTAGATTCGGATCAAGCCCTCAGGCAGAGAATGAACATATTTGGAAATGTTGCCCTGAACGCCGAACTCCTGAGACAGTTGGACACAGTTTTAAGGAACGTTAATCCATATGCGGAAGCCTACAAGATGCTGAAGGAATTCGAAGAAGAAACTGTACGAGAGCAAGGTGCCGAAACTGCTGCGGATATCCGCATGTACATCAAGGGTGAAAGTGTTGCTGCAGGCGAGCACAGGGGACGTTACAATGCTCCGAAAGAAAATGAAGTTGCAGTCGTCTTCAAGAGTACGGACGGCGCTCCTCCATCGAACCGAGACATCGTGATCCATCCGAGAGGTGGCGGTCTCATCAACATCAGTACCTTAAATCCCAACTTGGAACCCATGACGTACGTACTTTTCTTTCCTCACGGCGAGCAAGGATTCAGAGTCGGACAGCAATACACAGAGTTACAGTTTTACAGTCACAGGGTGTCCGTACGACGAGATTGCTACAACCCGATTTTGTATGGCCGGAAATTGTTTCAGCAGTATCTCGTGGATGCATACGTAAAAGTTGAAGGCAACAGGATTGCGTACCTCCGGAGCCATCAGACGAATCTGAGAGTGGAAACTTACATGGGTCTTGCCGATCACATTTACAGAGTTGGTCAAGAGACGGGCGTCCGCCCTGGAATACCGGTTATACTTCCGTCAACGTTTATAGGAAGCCCTCGCTGCATGCAGCAAAACTATCAGGACTCGATGGCCATTGTGCGCGACTTTGGTAAACCGGATCTGTTTTTGACTTTCACGTGCAACCCTAAATGGCCGGAAATAACAGAAAACTTATTCCCAGGACAGAAGGCTCACGATCGCCCGGACATCGTTTCGAGGGTATTTGACCTGAAGAAAACGGCTTTGATGCAAGATTTGACAAAGAATCACATCTTAGGTGCGACCATTGCAGATATACACGTCATCGAATTTCAGAAGAGAGGATTGCCTCATATGCACCTTTTGTTGTTTTTAGCGGAAGAAGACAAAATAAGAGATGCAGAGTGCATCGACTCGCTGGTGTGTGCTGAACTTCCAGATGCTACTCGACATCCGGAGCTACACAACATTGTGAAGTCATCGATGATTCACGGACCCTGCGGTGAACTGAATAGAAACTCTCCCTGCATGAGTGATGGTGTATGTTCGAAAGGATTTCCGAAACCGTTTCAGGCAGAAACTAAAGAGAACGTGAATGGCTACCCACTCTACAGAAGAAGGGACGATGGAAACTTTATCGTGATCAAGGGTCATGCCATCGATAACAGATGGGTCGTTCCTTACAATCCGTATTTATCGAAAAAGTACAACGCCCACATAAACGTTGAAGTATGCAGCTCCATAAAATCGGTGAAGTATTTGTTCAAATACGTGTACAAGGGTCATGATGCAGCTAAAGTTGTTCTGGAAGAATCTGGAGATAGAACTTTAATGTGGGACGAGATCAAATGCTTCTTAAATGCAAGATACGTGTCTGCCCCTGAAGCAGCGTGGAGGCTGTTTGAAAAAAGAATGCATTCTAAGTCGCACTCCATCATACGACTACCGGTTCATTTGGAAAACCTGCAGCCCGTCTATTTTGCCGAATCCGAAGAAAGGAATGCTTTCCAGAGAGCTGCCGAGAAAAATACCATGCTCACCGGATGGTTTGAACTGAACAGGACAGTTCCCGAAGCGAATGGTTACCTGTATGCCGAAATTCCTAAACATTTCACCTGGAGGAATCATGCCTGGCAGACACGAGTTAGACTTGGAGATTACATCATTTCAAGAATGTATTCTGTTAGCCCGAAAGATGTTGAGCGTTTCCATCTGAGGTTGCTGCTGTGTCACGTTAAAGGAGCGAAGAGTTTTGCCGACTTAAGAACTTACGAAGGTGTGGAGTATTCAACGTTCAAGGAAGCCTGCCGTGCAAGGCATCTGCTGCAAGACGACGAAGAATGGAAAAATACTCTGGCAGAAGCATCAGCTTTTCAAATGCCACCGCAGCTAAGACAGCTTTTTTGCTTCATCTGTGTTTTCTGCAACCCTGCGGAACCCGTCGCTTTGTGGAATGAATTCAAAGAGTCCCTTTCTGAAGATTTTGCGAGATCTTACTCCTTAGAAGACAGTTTCAGCCTTGCACTGAGAAGTATAGAAGACCAGTTAGAAGTGCACAATGTTTCGCTATGTTCTCTTGGTCTCCCGCAACCAACATTGACTGATGCTGTTTCTCTCGAAGTCCCGCAGTTCGATGTCCAGTATGAAAACGAACAAGCCGAAGTGTTGAACGGGATGTTGAATCCTGAACAGAAATTAGTTTACGACTTGGTTTTGGAAGCTGTACGAGATGAGAATCCTAACACACCCGAAGACATTTTGTGTTAATGCGTTTGCCGGAGCTGGAAAAACTTTCCTTTTTAGGACGATCCTTCATGCTGTTCGAGGAATGGGCCACGTTGCCATTCCCGTTGCGTGGACAGGCATTGCTGCTGTGCTGTTGACCGGTGGAAGAACTGTACACTCTACTTTCAAGTTGCCCGTTCCACTTCTGGAAAATTCTTCGTGCCGTGTGAGACAAGATAGCGCTGAAGGAAGGTACTTGAAGACTGCGAAACTTTTCATATGGGATGAATGCACCATGACGCCTCATTACGCTTTGGAAGCTGTCGACAGATTGCTGAGAGACTTGACCGGACTGGATGTTCCTTTTGGCGGTAAAACCTTAGTTTTAGGAGGTGACTGGAGACAAACATTACCTGTTGTCGCACATGGAAACCGAACTTCTGCGATCGAGAGCTGCCTCAGGAACTCCTTTTTGTGGCCACATTTCAAACAATGCACGCTTTCCACCAATATGCGATTGAATCCGGAAGAACAAGAATTTTCAGAATGGCTTCTGCAGTTGGGAGACGGTCGTCTTAAAAATGACAGTGGCTTGGACGAAGACATTATCGAAATTCCATCTTTGTGTGTGGTCAACAGATCGATAGTAGAAGAAATGTTTGGCTGCGGTAATGAATTCGACTTACAAGACTTGGCCAGTAAAGCGATTTTATGTCCAAAGAACGAGGAAGCTCTGAAGCTTAATGAAGAAATTCTTTCCACGTTTCCAGGTCAAGTTTTCACGCACTACAGTGCAGACTCGGTTATTTGCGATGACGAAGAAGAACAAGAAACGTATCAGCTGGATTTCATCCACAGCCTGACGCCTTCTGGAATGCCACCTCATCGTCTGAATTTGAAAGTTGGAGTTATAGTTATGCTTCTACGAAATCTACATCCATCGGTTGGACTCTGCAACGGAACAAGGCTCATTGTGAAGAGAATTATGCCAAACGTTTTAGATTGTGAAGTCATCTCTGGACAGAATGCTGGATCGAGAGTTTTCATTCCACGTGTTGAACTTTCACCATCAGATTCAAACCTCCCCTTTCAGCTCAAGCGAAGACAGTTTCCCATCAGGCTTGCATTTTGTATGACTATTAATAAGTCACAGGGACAGACACTTAAGAAAGTTGGGATTTATTTACCGCAACCAGTTTTCAGTCATGGAATGCTTTACGTAGCTTTTTCAAGATGTTCGTCTATGAGGAATGTTCGTGTTTTTAGTGAAAGACACCAAGAAGCAAGGCCGTTTGATGCCCGCATGTTCTAAAGTATTCACAAGAAATATTGTTTACAGGGAGGTTCTGCAGTAAAAAAGTTACTCGAGACATTGAAACAGTGAGATTTTTGCAACACAAAATGAAGTTAATCAAGCCAAAGCAAAAATGAAAAAGATTTGAGGTTTTTGGATGACTGGGATAAATTGAAGCAAGTCAAGATGAAGCTGAAACAGTTTGAGAATTATGCATTAGTCGGCTTTTATGTCTGTTGTTACAAAGTGGAATTTGTAGTAGTTAGGCAATCGGAAGCTGTATTATTTTTTCAATGTTGTAAATATTTTTTTATAAATTTTCCTTTTCAGGTCTACATACAATTGCGTTCATTAATTTTAAAACATTTTATGTATTTTTCTTTTTTAGGTATTTATGGAACTGATTTCAATCACATAAAAATATTTCTTTTTCAGGTGTATATAGAAATGATTTGATTCAAATTAAAATGTTTTTATACATTTCTTTTCAGATGTACATAGAACTTGTAAATACTTTTTTTCAGGTGTATATAGAAATGATTTCATTCAAATTAAAATGTTTTTCTTTTCAGGTGTACATAGAACATGTAAATTTTTTGTAAATAATTTTTTCTATTCATTGCTTGCATTTTTGTAAACACATACAAATATATATATCTTAATTGTGCGTGTGTGTATATATGTATATACAATTGCATCAATATATATATATATATATATATATACATATTTATATATAGTGATGCAATTTTGTCTATGATTCTGTAACAGCAGACCAGGGAAGGGGCTGATACCTGGGAGAAAAAATAACCCCCTGGTCGATGAGGTTGCAGAGGAGACCCCAGGTGTCAGGCAGTTTATGCCGTCAAAAGCCCACCAATTTTTTTCTGTTTACATTTTTTTTTTTTCTGTTCAAGTTTTTGTGTTTAATATAAACTTATAACTAAGAAATTATTATTATTATTATTATTTCTTTTCAGATAAATACGGATTGTAGCTCGCCCATCTGGCGTACTTACTCGGTAGATTTTAAAAATTATTTTCTGTTTTTCTTTG